TAAAATCCTTAAAGGGGGGTATATAGGGGATTGCAGACGGCAGTATTAAAGGGTTACCAGGCGCGATGCCAGCAGTTTAGACTGTAGGTCATATGTGTCTGCAAGTGCATGTGCCATCCAAATTCGGGACTCACTGTAAAAAAAAAACAGGTAGCAGATCCTTCAAAACATGTGTCACCCGGATTGGAATGTAATTCAAGTCTGACAGCGTGCCCTTTCCTCCTCTGCGGGCTCCCCGCCCAAAAAATGCAAAGAATGGCTGTCTACAAATGGCTCCTTTCTCAGCATCTATGTCAGCGTAGGGGAGAGCCGGGCAAGTATGGTGAATTTGAGAGCCTCCGTCCTTGATGAAAATAGCTCAAAAGCCCATGTATTTCTTGAGATTTCCCTCAATTCTTTACAGGTCCCTGTGGTGGAGTTCCTTTTTTGAAGTACGCGCCCCTATATACAGATACCAAAGTCTCCAATTTAAAATATGATGACCGAACATGACCTCACTGCCACTTCACCCGAGACTGCGGCTTGCATGTTGTATAGGGAATAAAGTACAAGGTGAAAGCTCGAATAATGACCAACATCTTTCCCATCCATCTGCAATTTCAGTATACAGTGCCTCTCAGCCTTATGCTAAGTGTTTGAGGCTCCGCACGAAGTCCTCAACTGCCGGAACTTCTGCTCAGTACACAGCGCAGGGTGTACAAGGAACGCTACCATCGCTTATAGTGCAAGACAAGTATATAGCAGGACTCCATCCTTTGTACCGGTCTAGTACCAGGAGAAAGCCTGTTGCCGCAAACCCTAAACCCTAAACCCTAAACCCTGTTGCCGCAACCCATAATCTGGAGCACCTGCCAGCCCGTCTACAATCACATACGGCATGTCATTGTTGACGCCATCCTCGCGACTGACTTTGCAGTTCTGCCGGCATGTTATGGTTGAGGGCAGAGGGGCGAAGCCTGAAGGGCAAGGGTTCTGCGTTGAACTTCAGTTCCCTAGGCCCTTACAACCTTAAATGGCAGTTTCCCAAAATATGGGACCCCAATATAGACCCCGCCATAAAAACTTTCCATCCAAAAGGTACCCCTAATCTTTGGAACCCCATCTGCGGGGTTTCGGGGCTGAGCATGGTTTCGGGGGTTGATGGGGCTGTTGGACCTGGAGGCATGCATGTGGCGCTGCAGCCCAGAGCCCCCCCCCCGATCCTGTGCTCATGATTTAGATTTTAGGGTTCAGGGTTTCGGGTTTAGGGTTCAAGGGTTTGGTTTGTTTGAGGGTTCAAGTTGTGAACGGTTCAAGGTTTTAGTTTGTTTTAGGGTTCAGGGCTTTCGTGGGCTTTAGGGTTCAGTGTGTAGGGTTTTGGTGGCTTGGGGTTCAAGGTCAGGGTAGAACCGAAAGAAGTCCTACTCGGAGGCTCAGGGGGACTCAGTAAGTAGCTATAACCCATATAGTAACCCTAAATATCCCCATTGTTAACCTACTTACTAAGTCCCCCTGACCCTCCAAGTACCCTGAACCCTAAACCCGAAGTAGGTGTTTCGGTCCAGCTGCGATTTTCGCAGCCCCCAGCGGAGAAGCCCACACCCTAACCGCTGCATCCCGCACAGAAAAGTGTAAGCTGAATCCTTGATCCCCAACCCTATATGAGTAGTGCCAAAAAGTAGGGTCCCATTTTGGTACCCCTAGATACTAGGTGCCAAAATATAATCTACAACCTAATTAAAAGGGGCCCATAGTTTCGAGAATGACCCATATTCAAACCGCTGTAGATGTGTTTATGTGAGACGCGAGCCGTTTTTGTTGTCATACTGGGTGTGAAGTGCGAAAGAAGGTTCATGCAACAAAACCTTACACCGTTCAATTCGGGCCGACAAGCTTGTGTCTCATGTTCAAACTTACATTCTTGCCCCTGGGCCCATCCACATACTAAACCCTGGACCCTAACCCCCCCCCCTTGAACATCCCATCATTTTGCCAGCAACACACCAGCATGGTGAAGGTCGGCGGAGGGCTTCAGGGCATCTATATGAGCTATAGTCTGAACTCCGTAAAGGGGGTTATATAGGGGATTATGTCGGGAATTATATAGGGTTTGGGGTTTAAGATCTAAACTCCTTAAGGCGGGTTATATGGGGGATTACATAGGGGAGCATCATGGAGGTATTTAAGGGGGATGCTAGGAGTTTAGACTACAGCTCATATGAGCTACTGTCAATATCAGTGTTATCATGGGAATGCTTGGAGTGGAGCGTAGCGCTTGGTCGAATGAGGCCTATGCCATTCACCTCACAGGCCTCAGTGTCCACCTGCTACATCAGTAATATTGTCTGCAGCTCATATGCAAGTTATGTAAGAGAGAAAGGGGTCATACCCCGCTGTGTGTAGGGATGAGATGGGAATATGATATACAGAGGTCGTAAACGGCTTAGTCTTGGAGTCTTAGCTTCAGGGGGCCACGTTGAGAGACTTTCAGTTTATGCATGACCAGCAGTACTTTGAACGGTGCGAAATCTGGTATGCTTGAATGCTAATGTCTTGCTGGCATTTAATGATCCACAGAAGGAAGGGATATGTGATCAGCTTCTGCAGTCTCTTTGTCTAAGATAGAGTGGCCTTTGAAGTATTCGGGATCTTCCACGCATGCTAGAAGATGTTTTGCAAAACTACAGTTCTTAGAGTTTCCATTTTCTTTTCCATTATGCCTATATTACTATATTCCCCCTATCTCATTATATTACCCTAAACCCTAAACCCTTACTCTATTACCCCTATATTAATTATGGGTCTACATTACACAGACTTGCATCTGAAGGAGGAGTTGGGAAGCTTCGCCCTTCTTTGGAGTTGAGGGTTCAGGGTTTAGGGGCATGGTGTAGGGTTAAGGGTTTAGGGTTTGGGGTTTAGGGTGTAGGGTTCAGGGTTTAGGGTGGATTTCGTGAAGCCCTAGTTTAGACCCCGTGGGATCCGCGGCCGTTACAGAAAGATCCAAGGAGATTGCAGCAGGTTGGGTGCATCCCCATAGACCCTGAACCCGAAACCCTACACCTACACCGTGTGGTTTCAGCGGTCGGTCTCCGATCCGAGTCTCATGATTGGATGAAAGTCGCTTCCCACACTTTGAGAACTTCATGACAACAACAGTTTTGAGATGCTCTGAGCAGTTATAATCGTCCTGGTACTGACTAGATCCGCTTACCTAAGCATCAAATCTAAACAGTTTATGCTTGTGGGCCTCGTGGGTTCCAAGCACCTGAAACCCTAGGCGCCAAACAAACTTTGACCGGAGCTGTAACCTTACCCTAGAGCCTGGTGGAGAGTTGAAATGAGGGAAGGCCTCAAAGAAATGCGTGCATACAACCAAGCCCAAAACCCAAAACCTTTTAGCCTATAAACTCTAAACCTCCCCCCAAATTAAACATGGAACATCCCAAAACCCAAAACCTTTTAGCCTATAAACTCTAAACCTCCCCCCAAATTAAACATGGAACGTCCCCGCGACCACAGCCATCCGGGGAAAGCGCATTTGTTTCGGTGAGCGCTGGTTCTGAAAGGAAGTCTGTTTCGGCCGCATGTGCTTTTGAAAGCCTCTAGCACAAATCGGGTACTTACAGGCAGCCTCGCTTGTAGCTCAGCTGCAGGAGTTTGAGTCCATGTATGGTGTGAATGCGGAGCTCTTCGACACTGCTGATGAGATGCCACGCGCTCAGCGCAATGTTGAGAGTAAGACTATCTGACTATCTGCAGCAAGGAAAGGGCAATGGAGAACTGTAGACAGTTTAGACGAATCGAATGTGAAATCAGCTGGACAATTCAACGGAAGCATCGGTGTCGTGCAGTATTTGGAGAGGGTTTCCTCAGTCGCTGTAGCTCTACGTGGAGGATCAGAATAATTCGAGCCCAGCTATACTTGCACTTCTAAGCTGATTATATCGTCCCCCTTAAGAAGATAGAATATGGGGTATTTGGGGATCTCATTATAACATACCCAAAGCCATATTCTATCTACTTAAGGGGACTCAACCATACAAGACTTCGGGGGCTTGAAATTTAGTTTTAATTGCCCTGAACCCCCAAACAGTCACTCCTTTTGTGCCATGCAAGTCATCAGCGGCTCACGAGACGGCATACCGAATCGCAGGAACTCACATTGGTTGAGGGTTCAGGGTTGAGGGTTCTGTGAACACGAACTCTCAAATCTGCTACTTTGATTTAATTTGTCCTGAAATGCCCACATTGAGGTCCCCATCTATCTTGACTTTCCTAAAGTGTAAGCAAGCAGGAGCCACCCTGGAAGTATCGGCAACAACTTTGAGATAGACATGGCCACACAATGCATTCTCTTACATGCTCGCCATATGATCTTCAATGCTGTTTCTTTGGGTAAATCATTGCACCACAATCTTACAGGACTTCATGCCCACCTCACTCAAAGTCTGGTTTGTATTGCATACATATAAGGAGTCACCTAGACGCTTAAATGTTCCAACGTCAGTCGTTCAAAGCTTCTTTGTTGTTTTTTGTAGAATCTCCCCCCCCCATACTCGGCCAGACCCATTCTAAGTCAGGCCCCTCCACCCAAAGGGCCCAAGAAGTGCAGAAACCCTCAGTCAGCAAGCTGAAGCTACGGTAGCCCTATGCGCCCTATGATCCAGCAAACCCCTAAACTGAATACGAAACTCCAATCCCTACACCCGAAATCCTCATACCCTCACCCTAAAACTGTCCCCAAAAATTCTTGCACACACGAGCATATCTCAAAATTCTACATCCAAAAACACAATCTAGAGACAGCTCAAGGTACATGACCATGGACGAGTTTCCTCCAAACGAGCTGCTCGAGTATTTCAAAACGCCGGATGTCAAAAAGAGCCTGAGGACGGTAAGGGCTTAGAGCTTAGGGTTTAGGATTTAGGGTGTAGGGTTCAGAGTTTAGGATGTAGGGCTTGGGATATATAGGGCTTAGGGCTTTGGGCTCAGAGTTTTTGTCAGGCTTAAGGCTCAACCTTGGTGTAACAAAGACAGGCAGAGCTAAGAATGCTAAAAAAGCGAGCTGGAAAGATCTCCGCTGTAGTCTGGGGTTATATGAGGTAGAGTCCAAACTCCTTAAAACGGGTGTTATTTGGGGGCAAATATAGGGGAGTACAATGGGGGTTTTTCAGGGGGATACTAGGCGTTTAGCCGATTGGTTCTATAGGGTCTGTTGGGATATTATCCCAAGAATGGAGAATCAAATGGAAAAGAGCACGCAAAATGGTATGGCAACTCTCAGTTTTCCGCTGAAGGACCGTCTTGCTCCACTTCAGTGACATCTCGAACCCCATGAAGTCTGGGGCTCAGATTGTTCTACAGGCGCAAGGTTCGCAGTCCTTATCACGTTTAGGGTTTAGGGTCTAGGGTTTAGGGTTTAGGGGCTTAATTCCTTCCTAACAAAGACCCTCAACCCCAAGCAACGTAGCTCAAGGTGGTTCAAGCTGAGGAAGGGAGCAAACGGCAGGATTAAAAGAACCAACAGAACACTATTTTGCAAATATAAAAAGATCAATACGGTATTTGAAAGGAACTGTAAATTATGGTTTAGTGTATTGCGGTCATAAAATTGTTGATCATCACGTAAATTGGAGTGACTTATTAAGTGGATATGCAGATGCAAGTTATGGTGATTGCATCAAAACGCGGTACGGGTAGTTACCGAAATTCGTCCGACTGAGGGGCCATGACTTCGAGAACAGTTGACATCCTATAGACCCACTGCCCTCATCAATTGCAGAAGCCTTAGCATGAGGCCTGGTAGGAAAGTCACCAGAGACCCTTTCATCTCCTGATATGTGGCACATCTGGTGCAGTCATGCTAGAGTGGGTGAAAATTGGATTCCAAAGCCTAAACTTTTCTCTTGCCACAAGGAACTGACCTTGCATACCACAAAACCCAACAAAGACTCTTTTCGTTTGGCGAAGGGTCCCTACTGTTGATACTTAAAATCCCGCATGACCTTAATATACACAAGTCCCATTATTCGCAACATATAATGTACTTAGGGTCATGCAGGATTTTGAGTATCCACCGTAGTAGCAGAATAATCCACACACTCGAACCTTTTGCTATAGGCCGTTCCCGATTGCGGAACAGTGGGCGACGTTGGTTCTCGAGGAGTTTGCCTTGCAGGGTGATGAGGAGAAGGCCGGCGAAGGGTTTCGGATTTCGGGGCTCATGGCCTAGACGCATTGTTTGTGTGACTGTGACAAGTTGTTGGGCCTAAACCCTAAACCTATTTTGTGCTCAGAAGGGTAAGGATGGTGGGAATGGTAGATGCTCAGAGAGTGACTAGCTGATGACCCTTAAACAAATCGCGTATCTTGTTGAGCAGCTTTTGGTCAATCATTCTCGTGAGCATCTGCAGGATTAGGATAGCTTAGGCTTCAGGATTTTGACCCTTAAACCCTAAACCCTGATCTGCCCTAAACCCTGGGGTTCAAGCTTTCATATTCTGCCCATGAATCTGGATCTTGTTTCGCGACTACCTGCTTAGGATCGGAAGATGGCCAGCCTTCGTCAATGCCAGCACACTATCCTTAAGGGTCCAAGTACCCAACAATTAGGTACCTGTGGCTGAGGTAGTAGCCATCATAGCACAGTCTTTGGGCAAGTATATGATATGATCATCAATACTTGGATCCTCAGGGTATAAGGCTATGAGGTTTTCGTGAAAATGTCCGCCCAGCTGCCTGGATCCTCGCTAGGAATCCTTGGCGCCTTTTGCAGTAATTACATGTATGGTAATTTTCATAAATAGGGGGACGCCAATATGGACCCCAAAACACCATAATCCTTATTATTGGGTCCCAAGTTTCTTGTATGGTAGTTTCTATAAACAGGGGGACCCCAATATGGATCCCAAAATACTGTAATCCTTATTATTGGGTCCCCCCAAAATGGTACCCTTAATTTTGATGCGTTTTTTCGTGCTAGCTAAAGAAGATCTATCTTGCTGAGCCGTTGCTTAGGTAGGCCTGTGCTGTAAAGACGCAAAGCAGACCCTAGATTCCGGTTGGCACCCAGACCAAAGCCAAAGGCCTCAAGACATGAAGATGCTCCAGGCCGCAGATTTCAAAGGTAATATCTCCTACTTCTACCTGTGCTTCCTCACTCTAGCTTGCCCTACAGATCCCTGCGGCCCACCCACCCTGTCACAATATGGTAAAAGCACCAAAGTCTCGATCTTGGCAGCTAGAGGTCATGTAGACAGCTCTCCTAGCCCATTGAGCAAGGTGGGTAACAAATCAATGTCCCAGATCGACTGCACTTCTAGCAGTTTTGACCCCCAGCGCAAGACCTTCATGCTGCAAACGCAAGATGAGAGCATGAGTCTTACCATCTAAACGATCGCCAAGAAGAATAGCGTCGAAGCTAACCTTTATCACTGCATTAGACTATGCTCTCCAACAGCTTTTCGTTTGCAGGGTTAACAAAGGAAGCAGCTTGAACCTCCTGCATGTTACCCTTAAAGTTTAGGCTTCATGGTTGAGGGTATAGGGTTTGGAGTTTAGGGCTTGTGGTTAAGGGTATGGGGTTTAGAGTATGGGGTTAAGCGTTGTAGCTTAAACACAAACCAGGCCTTGGGCATTCCCATCGGCCCGCTGAACGACCGCGAGACCGTAAACATGCCTCTGTCGCAGGCATCCTCAACCAATGCGGGTTGCTGCCCTAATAGGCCCCCAATATAACCCTAAGATAACCCCACTATATTATGTTCCAGATAAGGATTATGTGTTTTTTGTGTATCGGGTAGTCTCTGAGTTAAAGCCCTCAGGGTTTGACGTATGAGTACGGTTCAACTATGCGGTGCTTTGCAGGGAATGAGGGAAAGAGGTATGAGGGGAAGTAAGCCCTAAACCCCAAACCCCGAGTTACCCAGTCCTCCCGGTCCTAGTAAGTACCGGGAGTCAACTAGTTAGGGGTCAGCGCGCTCTGCTTTCAAAGTAAAATTTGTTAAGAAAGAAGAAGGAAACATCTCTGCCTCCTTTCAGAAGATCAGGCGTGCATTGTTTGGCTTGGATTTTGGAGATTAGGAAGTGTAGAAGTATGGACTGACGTGGTTTTTTCCATGGAATTTAGGTGTAATGCAACGGGTTGTATAGAGATTGTGATAGGGATCCCACTCCCCTCAAGCACCAGGAAGCTGAGGTTTCTAAAAGTTCTGAACTTTTTGCAGGCTATTGCTCTGGCACACCTCACTCTGGGATGTGCGCTGTTCAGATTTCACTTGTAACGGACCTGCAGTTAGCTTGCCTTACACCCTAAACCTTAAACCCTAAACCCATAGTGAGTGGGGAATGGAGGGCCGGTAGAACCTTTTCTACTCCCCAGAGTGGTCCCCATCGCCTTTCTTCAGTCCCCAACGGATCAAAGTAAGCTAGATTCATTTGTTCTGCCTAAATCATATTGCCGAAGCCCTTAGCTGCGAGGGCACCCTGAGGTTTCCTGCCTCGCCTGGAAACCACCCCATGAAGGCCCTCGTTACCAAACTTTGTTTGGCTGCCTGGCTTTCATTTTCATATTTATAAGCATCCTAACCAACATTCTAGAGCACACAATTGGTTTCAAGATTTGCTGCAGCTACAGTCCGGAACGCTCTGTCCGCACTAAGCTCTAAGTTGTTTGATCCTCGTCATTCTTCCCGAAGCGTTGCTCGTTGAACCCTGAGCCTCAAAGGTCTAAATCCACTGCCCAACTCAGACACAAAGCCGAGGCAGAAACCATAGTTCCCAAATACCTAGACCCTCCTCCTACCCTCTATTAGGGCCTAAGTACCCACTATTAGGGACCATATATCCCCAATTAAGGTTACAAGGAGGGTCCTGGTCGAGGGTAATATTTCTATTCTTCCACTGGTTGTCGTATTTTAGGGATTGGTGTTTACGGGCTGGCGAGTTAAAGGCTAACGTCATTCAACCACCAAAAAGGGTGACCCCGGAGTAGGCCAGCTTCTGTTCAGGGAGCGTATGATACACCTGTGTATTGTGATGCATGCTCCGACATACCTAAACCCTGAGAGCAATGGCGCTACAGCACATTTCGGGTCATGTAGGGTTTTGTGCAGCAACGGGACCTCGATACGTTCCCACAGCGTCGTTCTTATTCTTCTCTAAGCCCTAAACCCTACGGTCCCCCGTAAGTAGATAGAATATGGCTTTGGGTATATTAAAGTAAGATGCCCATATACCCCATATTCTCTCTATTTAGGGGATTACAAATCCTAAACCCTAAACCCCTTCCCTGGCCAATCTGAGGCTTGCACTGGATAAAAAGGTGTGAAGGGATGCAAAAAAAAACCTAAACCCTAAACCCCAAACCCTAAACCCTAAATCCTAAACCCTAAACCATAAATCCTAAACCGAAAAGCCGCTGGACCTTGAGCCCAAGCCAGATCGGCTTCATTGAGTTTGTGGTGGCTCCACTAGCGCTTTCCCTGGCTGTGGGCCCAGAGCAGATGCAGATGGGCCTAAAGAATGGGAGGTGTTTTTGGGTGGCTTTTGACGGATGAGTGCTAAGAAGCCTGGTTTTAGAAACGATGGTGGGATGATCTAAGGTTAGAAGTATGGCCCCTAGTATTGGCCCTTCGGCCTTTTGGGGGGATTCCAGGGACCCTTAAGGGTACATCTATGGTATAACATTCTAGTAGGCATATAAGGGTCCCAGAGTGAAGGGGGTAGGGGCCCATACTTCTAACTTTCGACATGATGTTCATCATACTTTGGGCTCCAACACAGTAAGTAGTCGGAGCTCTAAAGTCTTAGTTAACTTGCTGGGAAATCTCTAGATCAGTCCTATGACATGCCGCCAACATGTCAGGACCATGGCAGTTGTGTGAAACTCTTTTTCGAGTGCTATACTTGACAATTGTTCTAGTGTGCGCTTGTGCTATTTATGCCTTTCGGTGCTGCATGTTGACAGAACTTGCAAGCTCCTTACACGTGAGTCGGCAGGACAAGACACATCATAGTTCGAATGGCGTTGCAATCTCATGACCAACAGTCCGCTTGGTAGTTTCTGCGGATTCCCGGGGGATAGAGTTTCCCTAGACTTGGAACTCCTGAATCCTGACCTCTGAACGGAACCTTATGCGATAGCCTTCATTACCTCAGGATGCCAAGAAGGTAGGCTAAGGGTTGTGAAACATCTCAGCTTGCATGTTTGCACGGAGCGTTTTCGAATTCTTGTTGCCAGCGTGTGGGTCATGTCTTGAAATCTAGCACCGTAAAACCTGATGTAGCTATCGTTCTTGGCTACCATATTTTTTGCTTCCAATCTTTGCAAAGGTACCTTCAGCACTTGGAGGTCGAACGGCATGTCTGCAACCATCTTCCACTCCTCAAGCGTGGAAGACATGGTGACCTGACACAATAGCAGCAAGACTGGTGCAAAATACTGGTGCATGTCATGGCTCATGGCTCAGAGGATAAAAGCATAAATCATAATACGGGAAGAGAATGTGTAAGTATGAGGCAGTCACTACATCTAAGCGCTTATCTCTTAGACAGTTCCAGTTGCCCAACATGCGAACCCATTTGACACCAGCAGATAATGTGCTCCAGATACATGGACTCCAAGACAATCGCCAACTAAATAGGAAAACGCGCTAAGGGTTTAGGGTTCTTATCTTCGAGTGCCCGAAGTCGCTGCCGGCCTTTTGCTCCTCATGGCGTTGGGGCGAGTACTATGGAACCTACTCTGAGCCTTGGACGTACACTGATCGGGTGCCCGCTTTAGGCTTTAGGGTTTGGGGCTTAGGGTGTAGGGAGTAGGGCTTCACATCCCACATTGAATCCCTGGACCTGCTGTGGGGCATATGGTTTAGGGTGATGCTTCCGGGTTCAGGCCTGAGTTCTAAGAACCTTCAGTAGGGTTTAGAGTTTGGTTGCTGTGTTTAGGTTTCAGCGCTCAGGACATGCTGCGAGCCTGACAAAGGATTCTGAGTTCAGAAGCCCCAAGCCAGAACTACAGAAGTGAAGCATTTAGGGTTTAGGGTTTAGGGTTTAGGGATGTTGAGCAGCAAGCCCGTTTCCTACGCAGCCTCTTGCCATCTTCAACTGCGGCTGCGGGTGAACGTGTGAAGCACTAGAGGCTCAATCCTACCCTAGGGCTCCAGTTACCTAAATAATGGGAACTGGGTTCTATATACCATATAGTTACACAACCCAGTAACCTACTATTTAGGTAACTTGGAGCCCTGGGGCTATATAGCCAAACCCCAAGCCCTAAGCCAAGGGGGATGTGGGCTTCGGAAGCAGCGTGCCGCGCTTCGTATACCGAGCCTTGCGCCAGGACGAGGACACACTGCCTGGCCCTATTAGTATGATTATTATCATTAATGTTACTAGTATGGTTATTGTTATTATTACGATTAATTACTACTACAATTTCTAGGGTCCTACTATTCTGATTCTTATTTCTAATGTTACTAGTATGGTTATTGTTATTATTACGATTACTATTAGTATTACTACTAGTACCATTACTAGAATTGCTTCCCTTTTTTCAAATTAGGCTGGTGCACGGGGTGGCTTTGGCATGACCACTCGTAGTCAAAGTGTGAAATCCACCAGGCGCACGGCACTGAGAGCTCCAGGGATACTGAATAACCATAGTCTTCTTTTCCGAAACTACCGAGATCGAAGGGATCCATTGTTTCGAGGAATTTCCATTTTTCGGCATTTTTTTGTGAGGGACTCTTTGAAGACACTGTTGGTTTTCATAAACCATGTATCTTGTGTTCGACCTTTCGGCTTCCGGGCATGTACCATCAGATTTCGACCCGCATGGGTGGGTTCTCAAAATCATTGGCCTGTTTTGGTGGTTCATACAATGCTGACTAATTAATCCGCCGCAAGGGCTATCAAGAGCCCGACACCCTGAACCAAAAAGGAATACCCTGCACCACCAAACCCAAAATCTTAAACCCTAAGCCCGGGAAAAACCCTTAGGCCCTTAAGCCTCAAATCCATCAAGAGAACTCATTTAAGATTTGACATACACCCAGATCCACTCGCAGCCGTCATGGTGCTAAGAGTGCCGAACCAGAAGGCCTTCAACAAGCAATCATGTACCATCAAGGGAGGAACGCCGGCACCATGTGTATACACTTTAGGAGGAAATCTTTCACCATCCTATATATCTAGTACCCGAGGAATTATCGTATACTTGGGGTCTGAAATGGCCTCCATCCAGGACCCCGCCCTAGAACTTCCAGGCAGGGCTGAAATCAGCAGGGGTACATCCATCGTGTTTCGCACTTGTTAGAAGTCTTGAGTAGGTATCCTCGGTGTCTGAGAGAGATGCCACTGGTGCTCTCCTTGCTTGCTTTGTCTTGCGAGGTCAAAGCTTGAGAATCCAGGAATCTTAGCCCTAAACCCCAAAACCCGAGAAAGGCTTCACCTTGTGGAGACTCAACCGCCTTGAGCTTATAATCCCTAAACCCTAATCCCATTTTTTGGGTTCAGGAGTTAGGGAGGTATGGAAGCCCAAGGAATCGGAGCCTGTAATCTGTTAACACTCCAAGTCCTAAGACCCAAACCTTAAAGCCTCAACCTTAAACCCTAAACCCCTAAACCCTAAAGCCGAAAACCCCTAAACCCTAAACCCTAAACCCAACATGCAGGACATTCTTGGCGGACTCCGGGCATGTGATCCTAAAGCAGACAGTTGCCTGACAAGATTGGTAATCGGGGCGTAGAGTTTAGGGTTTTGGGGTTCAGGGTTTAGGGTTTAGAGTTTAGGGTTGGGGGTTCAGGGTTTAGGGTTTAGAGTTTAGGGTTTGGAGTTCAGGGTTTAGGGTTTAGAGTTTAGGGTTTGGGGTTTAGAGTTTAGGGTTTAGAGTTTAGGGTTTAGGGTTTAGAGTTTAGGGTTTTGGGGTTTGGAGTTTAGGGCGGTTTGAGGTTTAGGGTTTGGGGGTTAGAGTTTATGCGGGTTTAAGCTTCAGGTTTTACTAAGGGGTGGGGGATTATGGGGCATCAGATGGTAGAGGAAAAATGAAAATGAGATGGAAACTAGCTTTGTATTGGGCATATATATATATGTTTGTCAAAGGCTGTCCCAGTCGGCCACAATCTCGAGAAGTACTGATGCATTCCAAAGCCCTTCCTCAGGTTAGGTCTTCTAAGTTTGCCTTTTGTCAGGCTGGCAATACCTCTGGGCCTCAGATTGGAGTTTTGCAAAAGTAGTCCATTTACAATCCTGAAGCAGTCGTCAGAATCTCCCTGCAACCTCTACAAATCCCCAGGGTCCCTAGGCGCGGGTTAAGCTTGAGGTGTGCGGGCCCCGCCGCTCAAAATCGTAGGCTAAGCTGACCTGGTGCAGGTGGGTTTAGAGTTTGGGGTTTGGGTCTAGAAGGTCAAGGGTTTAAAGGTCTTTGTAGCCAGGGTGTAGGGGGCTCCAGATGACGTAGTATGAATTGCACTGCCAATCACCTAAATCCTAAACAGTCCAACCAGGGAAGCGCTTAGTCTGACTATTTGCGTGCCAAGGAAGCATCGTCCAAGCTTTGGAGGAGGGGTCAGTGGCAAACCAGTTCTTGCACGCGACTCTGTCCCCCGAAGTGGCTCTCTACTACGCGGAGGCCTTCGGCAACGATTCCAAGCACCAGATTGTAGAGATCGATTTGCAAAGTTTCAACGGAGAGATCATTGATGTGTCCGACGCAAAGGGTTGTAATCGACATGGGGTGAAGCACGGCACCAAGGCTTACAATTTTGCTGTGAAGCACGAAGTCGTGCTACTTGCTGGCTATGCAAACCCTGCTCTGCTGAGCGAGCCATTCGACACTTCAGCTGCAAATCATCAAACTTACCGGAGAGGGTCATCGTTCGCTGATTTTGCATCTGGACTACCTTACCATGTGCGCAATGAGCTCAACAACTGGAGGCGCGGCTCGAAAGCGGCTACCCGCGGCAAGCCGCAGCCGCGCACATCTCCCACAGAAAGTGTGAGCAACGATGATGCTCTCCAGGGCAGCGCGCTTAGACTTGCAACAGAAAAGCTTGCCAAAGACATTGCCAACCTGGAAGCCCGTAAGGGCCTTCTTGACTCCATGTCAAAACAACTTCAAAACAGAATCGAGCAAGAAGCGCGCAAAAAGGAGGAGGAGCGGCAGCGGAAACTGGAGGAAGAGAAGCGCGAGCGGCAGCGCCAGGAGGAGTTGAAAAGGAAGCGCGAGGAGGAGCAGCGCCAAGAAGAGTCATGGCGTGAGGAACAAAGAAGGAAGCATGCAAAATGGCAAGCAGAGGAGAATCGGGGTCCCAAAATTTGGGCATCTTGCAACGTGCAAGAAGATTTATACGAAGACTTTGACAGGAGCACGCTGCATGTGGCCCTAGGAAACGGTGGCTACATCATGCTGTGGGACTGGGTCAAAGGACATGCTTGGTCAGGCATCCCCAAAGACCTTTCTGACAAGCTCAATGGCCGAGGATATCACCAGTCACACGCAACACTGGCCGCTTTGAGTCCAGACTCCAGCAACTACTTCGTACAGTTTAGTGATGGAAGGTCTCAGTGGCGTGGCCCGGAAGGCTTCACAGAGGCCGTGCAGCAATACTCTGCCCGTCCAGCGGTTGTTGCCTTTGGCCCACATGACTCATGGTTTGTGAAGTGGGATGACGGATGCTGGCAGCACGAAGGTCTACCAAGGAGTCTCCAGAACATGCTCGACTCAAACAGACATCGAGCGGTTGGCTTCCTGAGTATGTCTGGCATCGACGACGATGACTACATACATTCTGACATAGACGATGCTGCATGGTTCATTCGGTGGGAAGATGGCAATGGCCCTGCCTGGAAGCTGACCGGTTCCCCCACCTCGCTTTCAGAAGCCATTGAAGAGATTCAGGAATGGGGTGGCAGCGTGCGCAGTGTTGAGTTTGGGAGCCATGGTGAGTGGGTTCTCCGGTACGCAGATTGAGCCGACGCTCATTTTTGCTTTAGCCATGCTTTCAGGGTCCAAGCGATTGAATATTATGCGCTTTTCTGAATTAGAAGCGGCGGACTCCTGGTCCTGGCCTGTCACTTGAAGAAAAGAAGCCCTACATACCTTCTACAGCATGTGCAGGATTGCTTTGGACCCCCAGAAATGCGTGGACCGTTTTGTGTGGCGCAGAGGCCGCTGCGAAGCAGCTGCTTGTTTGGGACCCCGCTTGTGCCACCCAATCTCTGAAGCGATGACTTCACAGTCTCGGGGTGGGCCTTTTTGTCTGGTGAAGGGCCGGCTTGCTTAGGGCATATATAAGACACAAGAAGTATGTATGCATGCATGTATAGTGAGTGTCTATTTAGAGGCTATATATATATATAGATATGCAAGTGTCGTACTTATTTTAGATGTTTCCATATGTGAATATACATCCCCAGCGTCTCTCAAAAGGCCTTGGCCGGCCCCGGTTTTGACGCCGACATGGGTGGTGCGACGTAATACTTCAGAGAAATGAGTGGAGCCGAATCCTGAATCGACAAAGCATGGCGTAGGAGCTAGGTTCGATGCTTGAAATGGTTTTGCCATGGCTGTAGCTTCAGGATGTTGTGTTTTCATTTCGCGGAAGTGTAGGAATGCGAGCAGCAAGCCGATTGCTCCAGAAGAGCCTTGCTAATGAGTAAAGAGTTGCCGCGGGATTGCCAACGAACAATTATAATGTTTTAAGAGCCCAGTGGACTGCAAAAGGAATGGAGTTTAAGAAGCCCTGAGGAGTCCTACGCCTCAAGAAAGCCTCAGGAAGTTAAGGAGGGCTTGGCGAGTCCTCAGTCAGGGGCCGCTGTCCCAACAATTGTTGAGAAGTCATGGTTGTAAACTGACTTGCCCTTACCCCAACCCAATGTGCCTCTGCAAAGAATTTCAGGAGATTAAAGCAGCCAGCAAGTCCACGAAAGCATGTGGTAGGTTCCTTTTTATGTAACGTTATTGCGGCTCCTGAGGAGTGTTGCTGAGCGTGCAGGACATGCTGGGTGTCTTGTGGAGGGCACAAAATCTTAAATTCTGCCTCACATGAGCCTTGATTAATTTGGTCACCAGAGTCTACGTCCCAGCCGGTCGCAGTGGAACATGTGCTGAAGCTGAACGACAGCCGAGTGACAGCGGCAGGACCAGGAGTAAGTCGCTGCTAGGTTTAGTCTGGACACCTGTCAGTATGGGCCGTTATGGCCTATACACGTGCAGCTGGACATTGGATGTAGTACTACAAGATTGACGCGCAAGATAGTGTGACGACCTCGCATATGAGTAGATAGGGTTTAGGGTTACCCAGACGCTTCCATTGCACCATGCTTGGTGCGCTTCAGGTCTAATTTTCTGGTATCCTTCTCTGTGCAGTGCAGCTTGCCAAACTTGTGAAGCTCATAGTCAGCAACAGAGTTTTACACTACAGTCTAGGCGGACTATATCTAGACCCTTATACCGCATGGCGAGTATCTTCTACCTACAGAGCTAGGTGCCCAAAATAGGTAGTGGGGTATAAGGCCCGTAGAAGGTATCCAGCTTGTACATACCAAAAGGGCTCTGCATTCCAAGGAGGCTGTAGTGCCCTGAGCCCTAAACCCTGTTACCTTAAACCAAAGCGCCCTACACCTTAGAAGCCGCGGAGGCCCGGATTCTGCCGCCGCTGTGGTTCAGCAACCAGATGATTCTGGAGCGCTTTGGGAGTTGATTTAAGGCTCTAAGGAATTAGAGTTGATGGGGTGTAACTATGCTGTAGTCTCCTTAGGAATTGAATTTTTGTTATAGTTTAGCCCTAAGGAATTAATTTCAAATATCCTTATAGGTGTAAGGAGACCACAGTATGAGGCTGAAGGCTGAATATGGATCTTAACTTGTGTTCTAGGTGTAGGGTTTAAGGTTTAGATATAGGGCTCAAGCAATTAGGGCTAACCAAAAAGTCGCTTTCAACTCGTGTCATGCTAAAACCCTGAGGAATATGAAGTTGCAAGTTTTAATATATATATATATATCAATATGTAGCCAATTATTGTCCTGCGTCAGTAGACTGGTTGCAGACCCGGCTTCCGCATTTTGGGGTCTAGGGTTTAGGAAGAACCGTATGCATGAGCAGTTAGCTGCAAGGGACGTCCCAAATCATAGGCCCCTGGCTCAAAGGCGACCGAAATCTAGAATGAGCCCGCAGGAGGGCGCCAACATCGGGAAAAGACCAAGACTCGATTCCCTCCCTTCAATCACCAGTGTGTCATATTTGAAGAAACAATTCCCTCCAATTTTAGTCGCCAGTGTGTATTCTTATAATCAAAGAATTTCCTCCCCCTTGAATCATCATCAGCACGTAAGATTTGGGTGGCAGGATAACGCCAACATCTGGATGGACAAGTGGATTGAGGGCACCTTGCTAAAGCCCAGTCTTGAGGAGCAGGCCGGGTCATTTTTAGGCCTAGGCTTTAAGGGAATAGGCCTCAGGGTTTACGATTTAGTTTGTTACGGTTCTGGGCTTAGGGCTTAGGATTTAGTCTTTGGAGATTCAAGGCTTAGGGCTCAGGATTTAGGGTTTGGGGTTTGGGCTCGTTTGGGGTTGGGCTGCGATTTGGGTTTAGGGCTTGTGGCTTAGGATTTGGTGTGTAAGGAATTTTGCATCTGAGGTTCAAGGGTTTAAGGCTTCGGGCTGTGCAGTACATGTCGGAATAACCGTTGTTCAAAAAGAAGTTTGTAAGCATTAGCACATGCAGGGATTATGCAGAGGATTTCTGAGCATAAGGGTCGATATGAATCTACACGTTAGACTCCCCACAGCCTAATCCCTGCACTCTAAACGGGTCATGGATCACCGTGAAGGAGTTTGGCGTCGTGAGGGTGTGAGGTTTGGCGCTCTACCTATAGTTTAGGATTCAGGGTTGTAGGAAGTTTAGGGCTCAGGGTTTGAGTAGGAGTGTAGGGTATCCTTTTTAGGGGGCAGTACTTGACTTGATAATTAATCCCAGCACCCTCATCCCTAGGCTTGGGTTCTTGGTTTGGGCAGGTTTAGGGTTTAGGGTTTCGGATGTCTCAAATAATAAACACCTTCGCTTGTTCAAACGGACTCCTCAAAAAGGATCCAGTACAACCTAAACCCAAACCACTAAAGATTGCCAAGCCCACGTACGGATCAACAGTAGGGGCCCTTCATAGTTTTTGGAATCGGGACTTCTCGATACACTGCTAAGGGTTTCTGATTTTGCATAATAGAGCAATGGAACTAACATGTTTTTGGAGTGCTCTTTGTTGCGAATCCAAGCATCCTTCTGCAATCCCACAGTCACTACAGGTACCTGGTCTGGAGACAATCCCCAAGTGTCAGCGTCTGCACCAAACCCTACACCGTAAACCTGAAATACGAATCCAAAGCCACGAACCTGCCACCCAAACCCTAAGCCCGGAACCCTGAACCCTAACCCTAAGCCCTGAGCCCTAAACCCAAAACCCTGAGCACGAAACCGTGAACCCTAAAACCTAATCACGAAGGTTAATGTTCGCGAGCGAATCCACCGCATGGTGCAGAAGACTGAGCAGCGCGGTTACACGGCAACCATGACTGTGCCTAGACAGAAAAGGTTTAAGGTTTAGGGAAACTGGAGATGTATACGTGTATTTATATATCTGTATATGTACATGTATATAGAGGCTCATAGGGGGTTACAGAGGGATCATACAGGGCTGAAATTTTGATGTTTTGGCGTTGAGGGTGACTGTAGCTCAGGGATTTACGGTTTAGGGGTCTAGCGTTGAGGGCTCAGGGTCCATTAAAGAGATGTATACGTGGAGCTGTTAAGTGGATTCTCTTGGTCCGTGTAGAGTATCTCATCTGAAATACCTGCCAAAAACGCTCTAGCAAACGAGCCAAGATTGTACCTGAACCACGCAGGTGGGTAAAGTAGTTGGGAAAGAGCCGAGGAGACCATTGCTCTAGATACTTTTTTGCCCGGGTAGAGTTTTACGCTTGCTGGGGCTTCAAGAGAGGTGGTGAATGATGGTTTTGCCATATGCTTGCTGCAACAGAAGAGGGAGTTAGTGAGGGATTGAATATAGGTACCATTGTTCGGGGTACATACGGAGAATTGCTTAGGGATCATGACATTCCCCCACGCCCTATGCAGTTTTACAGATCTTTCTTGGGGGTCTGGGGGCATTTAGCAGGATTCCTGGGCTTCTTGGAGCTTTAAGGTTTTAAGGGTCTTACGGGTCTGAATGAAGGTTTGGAGTTTAGAGGGCTTGGGATTGACAGCGGCTTGAAAGGGCATGAATTTTCGGTGTTTGCGGAGCTGGGGCTCTAAGCGCTTGGGAAAAGGGATTGATGGGTCTCAGCCGTTTCGTGGGGTCCAAGGATGTAAGGCTTTCTATTGACATTTCAAGATGTTTTGCGGCTTGTTGAACCTCTGATATGCAACAGGCTGAATACGTTCCCAGGGTTTACCATTTGAGCATGATGCTTATGACGTGTTTTGGGGGGACCGGAAGGGGATCCATTCAATCCGTTTGTTCATATCAGGCTCATGCAAAGCGGGTCGCTCAAGACTTAATGTGGCTCTTGTTTGCAAACTCCTGACACTTTAAGCCCTAAACCCTAACCTGAGGCAAGCCAACAGAGCGCCTGAACATGGGCCCTTCACAAACCCAAAACCCAAAACCCTACACCCAAAACCGTGCACCCACAAAACCCAAAACCCTAAACCCAAAACCCTAAACCCAAAACCCTACACCCAAAACCCTACACCCAATACCCTAAACCCTAAACCCTAAACCTAAAACCCAACCCCTAAACCGCGTGTGGTTTATACGTGCTGCCATTGGTTTTTAGGGATGGGACATCCCTAGGGCTGAGGAAGCTCCCAAACCCAAAGCCTGAACATGGCGGAATTTTTCACGCGTATGTAGGGATGTATGGAAGTTTGCTACTTGAGCCTTAAATTTATACAGAATCGTGCTAGCCCTGGTTG